AATGACTTCATGGGATGTAAGCCGAGTTGGAGATTTATGAGGTTTATCTGGAGTGGATGAAAAGAGACGTAAACATGAGGGATAAACGTTCAAACTGCGAGGAGCGATGCAAGATGGAGTCGGTCACATATGAACCGATGGAGGACAAAACGCTCACACCATGATAAAAACACAGGACTGAACTCGGGGTGGGTTGGGTGGGATGTAAAAATAGTTTTTTTCTCACGGTGATCAAGTCCCTGCGGCTAAGCGGCGACTCAACGCAGGCCGGGGCCCGTGGCCAGCGGCGTAACCATAGCGACCACGGCTGCCTGACGGCCGAGGCGAGAGGGGGAGTTCCCCTCGCTGAGGGACCGCCCGGTTTCGTCGCAGCCAATCAGCAGATAGGGGGAGGAGCAGCGCTACACACAGGAAGAGGTCAGAGCGGTGTGTGTGGTCCTCGTCACTTCTTTTTTTTTTTTTTTTTTGAAGGTCCTTAAAGCTAACAGTGTCATTTTAATGGTTGAGGGTCTGCAGGAGTGTCTCGTGTGTGGGGCTGTGGAGGTGTTATATTTGAGTGAAATGTTCTTTTAATATGTAAAACATGCTAACACAGAATTATACTGGATTAAAAGGTGGTGATTTCAGGTGAGTTTGTGAGTCTCATTAATACACTCTGATGGGTACAACTAATAATAAAAACAATAAAAACATGTGCACTCACTTCCTGGTTTAATCTGAGTTGGATGAACAATGGTGTTCAGAATATTTGGTGCTAAATCCGTCCAAGAATTAAAATTTGATGTGGCTTCTGAATATATTTGGACTTGTGTCATTTCAATTTCATGCAGATTTTAGATTTCTTGCAAAATCATCACATTTGAAACAGTCAAAAACACACTAATCATATAAATGTGTCAAACAGATTTTGTGATGACTATCAGAGAAGTGAAAGTCTTTCTGCTGAGGGGAAAACGTCTATGAGACACTTTCTGACAGATTGATTTGCTTTCCTCAGTAAAAAGTCTGTTTTTTATGTGAAAAAAGACAGAAACTGTTTTGTCTTTGGGCTGTGTGTGTGTGTGTGTGTGTGTGTGTGTGTGTGTGTGTGTGTGTGTGTGTGTGTGTGTGTGTGTGTGTGTGTGTGTGTGTGAGAGAGAGAGTGTGATACCTGGATGTGAACTCCGTCGACAGCACAGCTGATGGAGTCCAAAGAGGGAACGTGTCTCACTGACTGGTAGTTACTACACAAACACACAAGAGCGTACATTAAACACTCCAATTAACAAATAAAACAGCTGTACCTGAATGCACCAGCTTTGTGTTCAAACGTAGCCTAGTTTGAACACAACTTCTAACTCACGACAGAGTTCTCGCTCAGACACATAAGGTGCTGCACCAGCTGAGATCGTTCAAACGTAGGCAGCAGTTATACCTAATAGCTCCTAGAAGGTGTAAAGTCCTCCGTAAAATACGGTTGTCATGGTGATGGTTTGGAAAGGTGGGATATGACCGACTCTACCACTGAACCACAGCTGCTGTGATGAAAGCTGAATTTTACACACACACACATTTTTGTGTGTGTGTGTGTGTGTGTGTGTGTGTGTGTGTGTGTGTGTGTGTGTGTGTGTGTGTGTGTGTGTGTGTGTGTGTGTGTGTGTGTGTGTGTGTGTTACCTGCTGATGCTGCTCTTCCTGGACATAGTGTTACTAGGAGACGCTGGAGGTGTCTGATAGGTGTAGTTGAAGTCAGAACCTTTCAGGTCCAAAATCACCTGACAGACAAAAAGTTAAAAAAAGTGGTGACTTTACAGTCACTTCAAGTTCCTGGCTGCAGCACACCACTCATTTTCAACAAATCCCATGGAAGAAAAATACATTTTGACAACATCCTTTCATCCTCCTGCATCAGAGTAAAAGAGGAGCTACCTGCTCGCTGGCTGCTGGGAGTTTGTTGGGCTCGGCTGTCAGGTTGGTCAGATCTTCCAGAATCGTCTGCAGGTGTGTCACCTCGCCCAGCATGTTGATCTCATGGTCCTACACACACACACACACATTAATGTTTAGTCTGTTTCAATACTACGGCCTGAGCACATACTGCATACCTCTCTTTGTGTTAAAGATATGAATGAAGATCTGTATTTCTAAATATAATAAGATAAATGTCTTGTTGTTGAACACGTGGAATAGAAAAGTCAGACAGGCTATCACATCCATCACACACGCACGCACGCACACACACACTGTACTGACCAGCACGGGCTTCAGCATGCTGACGAAGCCGCAGTATCGAGCTCGTTCTTCTATCAGAGCTCGGCACACGGCACGTTTCTCCGTCTCCTCCAGGACGGCGTAACGCACATTTACGTCCTGCAGAGCGCTGTCCAGCTGACCCCGAGCCTCGTCCTTCCCTGCACACAAACACACACAGAAAACTGATGAAGCTCCGGGTTGGTGCTCACTCAGCTCCTCAGAGGACCACAGTGGATTTCCGCTCTTAAATCAAAAATAAAAGTCTACTTATTTCAGGTGAGACGAGACAACATACTGAAGGATAGAGCAATTTGTTTACAGGACGACATGAGGTCAATATGCAGAACCTGTGCAGTAGGAGGCCTACCTGCTCAACATTATTAAAACACAAGGGACTGTTTGAAAAAGGGCTATCATATTTCCTCTTCAAAGAAAATGAACATTTAAAATAAAGTCCTGACACCCTGAGAACACTCAATATCTTAAAGTCTTACAGAGAGAATAGACTTTTATTTAACATCTCAGAGGAGCAAACAACACTCACTCAAGTTGTAATACAATTATCCTACCAGCAGAGGGCGACACAACCCTACACAGCTGATGTAATGGCACCAGGAGAAGACAAACACACAGTGTCAGATGTTTCTCTCACCCATGCAGTGATCACAGCCTTTTTACCCTGTTTGAGTCAAACAACACATGTGAACATAGAACTTTTTTTAAGGTTTCTTTTTGGGCTTCTTGTGCCGTTTTTTTTTTTCATAGAGATACTGAAGAGAGAGAGTGGGGCCGTCCGCCTACAGTCTCTCTCTTTCAAAAGATCTCCCAGGTGAAAACAGGCTGAAGACCTGTGATGTGGACGGACGGAAGTGTAGCTGTGTGTGTTTGAGTGCGGGTCTGGTTCTGGTTGTGGTCTGGTGGGTTCAGACCTGCAGGTAGAGACGGACTGAGAGGCCGAGCAGGTCTGACCTGCGGACCACCCAGCTGTGGAAACATGTCGTGCACTGAGAGTAAAAATAGGAGCGTGTAGGGAGGAGTCAAAAGGTGAAATACAAAGAGAGTTATTATTACTACGTTTTTAGCCTCATGAAAAATGGTGATGCACAACCCCACATAAGCAGTAAAGGCTGTTAGCCATAAGAGCTAATCGAGCTTGTCAACTTCCAGTGCTTCATTAGAGGATGTATATTTCTTTTTTCCCATCACTGTTTCCCACTTTCACTTGAACGCAGCATTATTGTTTGGGCTGAAAAAAGACAACAACCCTGCTTTTGTTCACCTGATTATTGCTCAGTTGTTCTTCATCAAATGCTGAGATATGTTTTGAGCAAATATGAAAAAAAGTTTAACTTTTATAGCTGGGAAAGAAGGGAGAGAGGGAAAGAAACAGAGACAGACAGAAAATGTCATGGAAAATAGAGAGAGGGGTTTCCACAGGCACACACACACACACACACACACACACACACACACACACACAGTGCAGACTGTGTCATAAAGCTCTACCTATACACAATCCCTTCTCAGGTGTGTGTGTGTGTGTGTGTAGGAGCATGGAGAGTACAGAGGGTTATTTTCACGCTGCTAAAAGAAGCTCAGTGTCAGCGTTAGTCTGTCTGATGTCTGGCCTCTGTGGAAACACTCACACACTGACACACACACACACACACACACACACACACAGGCCGTGTGTTGTCAGACTGTTTCTACAAGACTCTGGCACGCCACCCACAAAAACACAAAGAGCAGGACTGGACGCTCGGCTGTGTGCAGAGTGGACTCATTCAGTCCGTTTAAAGGTGAAACACAGTTCAGGCGGCGCTGATTCTCACCAGCTGAGAAATGTTCTGTAAAAACAACGTGTGTGCGGGGTGTGTGTGTGTGTGTGTGTGTGTGTGTGTGTGTGCGGTGTGTGTGTAGTGTTTCCAAAAAGGTTTGGAGGTTCCTTTATAGTCGCTCTGTGAGACTTGGAGAAAGAGATCATGGGTCTTTTTCTGCAGACTCTGATGTGTCTGACTTTGCTGAAAATATTCAAAACAGTCTGAAAAGCTAACACACATTCAGCCCCATTCTGATTTAAGTCAATCAATGCAACGTAACGTGTCCACAACAAATGAGAAGGTGGGCTTCTCTTGTTGCCGTGGCTTTCACATCCCATACCACATCGTCTGTCAAACAAGCAACACCCATTTGATCTCAATGGGACTGACTCTAATCACCACCTGTGGGTCCAGACGACTCACCACATTAATCACCTATCACCTATAGTCGGGACCTTTAAGGATCCTTCTGATGCACTTTTTCAACTTTGTTTTTAACCATCATGACTCACACCTCCAAACAGCTGATCTCTTATTTACATCGTCTTAATGTAACCTGCTGCTTTTAATGGCTCATTCATCCAGCAGTCTAGACCATCTGAGTCACACAGTGATGATGTCATCAATGTCAGACAGGTGATGGGGTAGTTAACACGATCAACAAGTTTACGTGGAGCTTTCTGCAGAAGGTCGAGACACGGAGCAGCTGTGTGCAAAAAGAGCCTGCAGATTTAAATGTCAGCATGTGATGAACTCGACCTCCTTTAACCCCACGACTCCCCTCTCTCCACTTCTCTCCTCTTATCTCCTCCCCTCTGTCCTCTTCTCTCCTCTCCTTATCTCCTCCTCTCTCTCATCTTCTCTCCTCCTCTCTGTCCACTTCTGTCCTCTTCTCTCCTCCTCTGTCCTCTTCTCTCCTCCTCTCTGTCCTCTTCTCTCCTCTCCTAATCTCCTCCTCTCCTCTCCTCCTCTCTGTCCACTTCCGTCCTCTTCTCTCCTCCTCTCTGTCCTCTTCTCTCCTTCTCGCTGTCCTCTTCTGTCCTCTTTCTTCTCCTCCTCCTCTGTCCTCTTCTCTCCTCCTCTCTATCCTCATCTTCTCTACTCCTCTCCATCCACTTTTGTCCTCTTCTCTCCTCCTCTGTCCTCTTCTCTCCTCCTCTCTGTCCTCTTTTCTTCTCCTCTTATCTCCTCCTCTCTCCATCTGACCTCTTCTGTTTTGCTTTTCCCTCGTTTTATTCCCAGCTTCTCTTCGTCCTCTTTTAACCTCCTCCATGCTTCTCTTGTGTTGTCTTCTCCTCTTCCTTTGTTATCCGTTTCTTCTTTCTCTTTTTTAGAATCATGACACCATCTTTTTTTCCCTTCCAACACCCCCCCTTCTTCTCTTCTTTAACTCAACCTTTTGAGAATGAGTACATCATCCATCATCTTTTCTTCCATTTCAAACATCTTTCTACTCCTCTTTCCAGTTTTTCATCTCCTTTTTATGTCTCTGTCATTATAAACATGGGAGTTCTTGTTTCCCTCCTCCTCTCTTCTCCTCGCTTAATGTTTCTAACCACAGTGACCGCTGCCAAGTCATGGAGAGGATGACTTCAACTCCTCCCTCCATAGTTGTCTTATCCTACACCTCTTCCTCTTCTCTATGCAGCCTATGCAGGAACAGGTCGGTAGCTAACTTTGTTTTTTCAGGAGGAAATATTTCTTCAGAGAATCCAGTGTGTCCGATCGTTTAAACAAAAAAAATAAAAAAAAAAATAATGAGAAAAGATAATAAGTAAAGGAGAAAACCTCCTGATGAGCTGTGCTCTTCTTCTTGTCATTAATCTGTCTTTCTAAGAAGCTGGAGATTCCCAATCTGAAGTGGTCACACACACCGCATAATGACAGAGTCCACACACGCACGCACGCACGCACGCACGCACACACACGAAAGCATTAGTGATGCCCCAGATGTTTATCTTGTCTTTCATTGAAACAGTAAACTGCCAATGTTTCTGTCCAATGAGACTGAACTGAGGTGAACTCAGTCTCTTATGTTTGTTTGTTTATCTAAATCTGGTACTAAACCTGAGTTTGTGATTTTTTGGCAGATTTGAAAACAGAAAATCAGTTGTTAAAAATAGAGCATTAAAAATGCAAAATGTAACTTTGATGAAAACAAACTAGGAGTTTGATTAACTCGGTCTCATTGAATCAAACAATTTATGAAATAAAGAGATTCATTATGATCTGACAAGAGCTGAACAAGAGTCGACGGCAGAGAGAGAAAATGACTTGTGTTTAGAGAAGTTTTCTTTAACCCACAACAGCTACGACCGTTTATTCTCCGTCTGTCCTTACTGATTATAGACAGCACTGACATAACACACACTCACACACTCACACACACTTGGTAGAGCAGACAATACCATGTGAGGTCTTGATTGGTGAGAGTGCAGAAACAGTTTTGTTCACTGTGAGGGGAAATGTGTGTGTATCATTCCGTGGTGACAACATGTGAAGCTGAGGCTCTGTTCTTTAAGCGTGGCAGTCCTGCAGTCCTCCAAAAACATCTACAGATACTCATCAGTTCTTCATTGTCTTGTTCAGTTTTTTAGATATTTAAACTTTTTTTTTTTAATTTTTCCTGACTTTATATGAATACAAAACAGAAAATAATCCTTCATTCTTGCTATGATATATTCAAGATCCGGTTAGACAAATTAAGTTGAAGTGAAATCAAAGAAAAGCTGTTCTATGATTAAACCTTTAAAGTCAGTTTTATATATAATTATATAGATCACGTTTCATCACGGGGAGGGGGGGTAGTATTTATTGAATTAACTTCATTAAAACGAGCACATTAATATTCAAATATTAGCATTACAGGTTAATGTGCCAGGCATTAGCACAACAGCTAAAGCTAATCTGTAGTCCATAAAAGTGATTCAAGTTTGTTGGGGAACATTGACAGTGGCACTTAGCACATGAACATTCCAAACGTTGTTGCACGTCAGACTGAAACACTCTTTTGTTCACCAATCAATCCTAAAATTGAATGTGGAGCTGAAATCCTCGACCAAAGCACGTTTAGGGCCTCTGGGCATTTGTTTGGCGTTTGAGTGTTGTTTCTAATGTTTATATCTGGAGTGTTGTGTTGTGTTTGAGTGTTGTGTCAAATGTTTGTATCTTTGTTTCCTGTCTTAATTGTGTGTGCCGCAAACAGAGCCGCTGTGACGCAAGGCAAATGTCAGACTACGTCTGAGAATAAAGTATTATCTATCTGTCTGTTATAGCAAGTCTGCAACACCAACATTCACAAGAATCACCGTGATTGGCTGGTTAAGTGAAAGCTTGCCCTGATTGGTTGTTGATTTAATCCTGATGAGTTTAATTTTCTTAAAGGAGGGCGCTGACAGACACTGATCAGATAATCTTTGAATTTCCCTCAAGCTCAATAAAATATCTACCTATCTATCTGAGGGATATCACAATGTGTTATTTATCCAGATGTTTTAGACGCAAAGTGACTTTTTACAAATATTTAGATTATTTCTAATGAAGTTGTTTAAGGTTTTAGGAGTTCTGATGAAAAATTGACCTGAGTGAGGAAAGAAAGAAAAAAGATCCACAGAAGAAAAACGTGTTCAGAGATGTTAAAGCC